AATGAATTAATCAAAGAAACAATCTTTCCACTATTATTGCCGTAAGCACACCAGCATCATCACTAAACGAACAATATTCGTCTACCTAATCACGTACTGCGTTACGATGACGACAAGTCACCACTGACAACGAGCGTTCTAAACAACAACAAGACAAACGCTCTGAATCAAATTCAACTAAATCTAACTAAAACTTGACTTCAATCTCATTAATTTTCTTACGAGAACCACTGCCAACCACCCTCTCCTTTAAAACATTCATCAAGCCAACAACACCATTGCACCTATCAAACGAACGAATCACCAATCGCAAAACGACTATCAAATCAAATCAAAACCGGATCATTTATTGATTATCGATCGCTTCCTTTACCACTGATTTCTTCAGTCACCTCAAACGATTTTCACCATCTACTGTTCAATCCGTCCATGTTTCAGTTAGTTTCACAAACATTTCGTTAGTTTCACTTAGAGAATGCTCCAAGGCACAACAAAATTTATGTCCTTTGCAACTCTGATAGTGAAAACGTTTCTATCTTGCCTACTAATCGTAAGTGATTATGCGCGACTCTTTCAATTGAAGCCCTGCATTCGTGATAATCGGCACTTTATAGTTTCTGAGTGCCCTCAATACTCAAAAGTACGAAGAAATGCATATTAACAAATAACGATTGCACGAACACCCACATTAACATATTGAAAAGCAGAATGTAGGCAATTATTTCAATGAATTTCTATTCGACAATTTTCGATGATATGAGAGCGGAATCGCAAATTTTTCAAATAAATATTTGATGTCGTTTAGTTTTTGTTGCAGCAATTTGATGTCGATTAGTCAGGCATTCGACCAACCCGACCCTCTCCATATTCTGATAATTTTTGTCTTCGCATTTCTCACAAATTTTCAATTCAGTCAACTTGTTTTTCATCATGCGAAATGCGTGAAAAAATCGTCGAAACATGAACGTCATTGAGATGCACACCCAAACGCGACTCTTTGCGAACAGAATTAATTCATTTTAAAAAAACAAGACGATTATGAATACGCATCAAATGACGAACTTCAACGACACAATAGTAATCGCCAACGTACACATCTGCTAACATTGAGAGATATTTTAAGTTCTTATGCAAGAACGTGAAATTTTGATGAATTCACTTTCAGCAAACGATCATAGCACCCTATCTTGTGCATGTTCTCAAACGATGACGATAGACTAATGACAACATCTCAATCTTAACTATTATTGTACTTTAAGAATTACTGTGACTGTTATTGAAAAAAGATGCTGTACTGTTATCGATGTTAGTTGCGCGTTTACTTTCGTATACGAAACGATTACATCAAGGACATGATGCAAATGGCCATTCAGGATAAAATTCCGCTCAAGATTTTTGATCAGTTATCATTTTCAATGGTGATGAAAATGTGAAGATTTCATTCGTAGAGAAAGAGAGCAAAAGACGAGATCATGCAAGAGTGCAACACAACAACTAAGCAAATAATTATCCTAGCCCCCCCCCCCCCCCCCCCCCCCCGCTATCGCANCACGAAGAATCCTAGCTCCCTTCTCCCCGCTATCGCAACACGAAGAATATTCATAACGATGGAAATGAATTGGACTATCACTGAAATTATCATGTTTGTCACCAATGAAATACGAACCGTTTGAAACTTAATATTAACCCTCGATAGCGTCCTTCACTTTTACCACTGAATCAAGCTAATCTTTACATTTTCACTCGTATCGTTCCATAAAAACAAGAAGAAGTTTGCAAAACAGATACGAAAAGTATTCAAAATTTGATGGTTCCTAGTAAGAATGAAGCAATATTTCGTCATCTATAGAACTTAAGATATAAAGCGAGTTTTAAAAAACAAGTTTATTACATGAAGTGTTCATATGACAAGTGATCGTTAATTTTGTGCCATTCAATTATTTAAATGTCAAATTGATTTTAGCACTGAATTTGACGAAATGATTCACACTGAATCATAAATTTGTTGCTTTCCCTTCTGATCATTTAAAGTGACTCGATTAACTTCGACAGTTACTCAATTAGGCTGATCTATGTGAATGTCTACCAACCTAGTGTTTGTTCTTCAACAGATCAATCAGAAGAGTTTTTGTGACAAATCACAAGCAAGTATTCGTTTTTACGCTTCATTTACAATAGACCGAATTAGTTATTTCCTGAGTGATCAGAACAATATTGTCAANAAATCCATTGCAATCCTAATACCGTCCAATAAGCTATGACTTTCGCCAAAGGAAATCGCTTGAGCTGAAGTCGAAAAATCCTCATAAATCAACCGAAGCATATCCATTCCAGGCGATCAAAGGAAACGGAAAGTAAAACTTCATTGCTCAATGAATCATTAACATCTCATGATAAACAGTTCAATTCATTCAAAATGCATGGTCGTTTACTGCACTGTGCCGTACAGAACCTTCTAAGTTTTTGCAATAACTGAAATTTGAATGTCACGAAAACGGAAGATTTCTGTTGCGCTAATGTTGTCAGATGTACAGAAAGAAGGATGTCAAGGAAGGAAGGAGAAATGTGATATATTGGTGATGATGAATCGGTATTAACCCTTAATGAGTTGTAACTATGGTTGGAAATAATGAATGAAATTTGAAGAAAATGACAAAATAAGTTCAAAAGAAAATTATATCTAATTGTAAGATTGATTCGTTTCATTACTTGAACGAGCGATTGGGTGGGTCTCTTGCACTCTGTTCTTCGAGGACTAACCCGGTCCCTAATGATCCGATTTATTTCTCCGAATAGAATGCATGCTTCCCAACATGTTTTCGATTTCCTACTGCTGTACTACAGTTTTAAAAAACCGAATCACCAATTTCCATAATTCATATAAATTTGAGACTACTATACACAATCATTATATTCAGTTTTGCATTAATCTGCACGTTCTGCCATATTCTTCTGCAGGAAGAATGGATCGAAATGAAATGTCTAGCAACCAGACTTAAAAATTCCATCTCCATGGATCTGAATTACTGCGAAGAAATAGACATGCACAGCGCCATTGACGAATATAAATAGAGAAGTGGTATAAACCATTTCACATGAACAGGAAACATTCGACATCACAACAAAACAATTCAGCTGAGACGGACAAATTTCTTCGTAGAATTTTTATCATTTATTTTCACCAATCTTGCAATTTTTTTTTNTTTTTTTTTGATAGCAAATAATTATATTCCATATCCACATGAATACGAAATTATCCACTAAAATGTGTTACATAAACTTTTATCCTGCTACTTACATAATATTAGTGCTTCATTGCGAATAATATATTACTTTTGTATTACAATTCCATACATCACTATCACTGCATTACACAATAACCGACGATATATCCGACATTCATATCATACATTTCATAATCAACAGAATATCTTAATGCTGATTTACCGAACGAAATGCCCGATTCAAGCAAGCAGCACGACCCATCCCACCACCATAAAAAGAAGATATTGAAATGATCGAACAACCAACGACCAGGTATTCAAACAACCAAAAACCTCCATTCAAAGCAGTTTGTCGAATGATGAATCAGCTGACTGCATTCATCATTGAGCAAATAGAACAACTGAATCAACAATAAAGCTGATATGATACAGAAGGAAAGAAAACTTGATTTTGTCGCATGCTCACTGAATTTTCGAGTCGTTCAAATGACGTAATTTGAAGGAAGCGATGAATATATTGAATAACAATAATGATAAAATGTTATCGATGATAGCACAATCATAAATCAATCTCATCGGAACAAACACCATAAACATCTGCCAAATATGTGAAGATCATCAAATATCATGCAAGCCAATCATCACTTTATCTTCACATAACTATTACTAAATTCCAAAATACAATACGGCAGCCATAATTTCTCTCAAACGTGAAACTCAATTTGGAGTACAACAAAAATTAAATATGAAGCAGCAACATAACATAACAGTTGCGAAAACGAAGCAAATGAAACATTTCAGGACGTACACATATTGACACGAATATGCACAAACAAGCACATAACAAAATAAAATTTCAAAACAAATAACAAGTTATCACAACAATTTTTCAAACCTTTAACACATCTCATCAATCTTCTCTTGTACTCTATACTGACTTAAAGACTCAGTCAGCCAGTTTATTTGAGACTAACGTTCGAAACTCCGCTCAACGTTCGATTACCAATGAAGAATTTTGGTAGTCATCTAATGACTTCCATCCATTTTGCTGATAATCAACAAAACATGACAGTGGCAAACGAACTAAGAGAACACATTAACTGCCGCTGCGATCTTACACAGAATTTGACTAACAGCTTTCATTCAGTCATTTCACTACGTTATTGGTCGTTAGAAAAATCTGATTTTTCTCTCACATCTATATTCCATATTCAATCGTACAGAAACGAACAAAACATAAGGATATATAATGGAAATATTGAACCTCTTAAAATCATTAAAAATTCTTCTCCCTCTATGAAAAAAAAANAAAAAAAAACGAATTCAAATAACTGCTGAATGGAATGAAACGAAGGCACTGCTCATTCAAGCGCAATAACCCCAAATCACCACTTCATACTATCGGCTAATCAATTTTCAAGTCGCCGATGGTATTATTTAGTTATTTCCTTGGGAATTCGTGAAGAGGAGATTCTTTTCTTATAAACTAGCAAAGCTATCGCCCCGTTGCATGAAATGTTACTTTACTGCAGAACTACAAACTCAAGTTTACAATTTGCACACACAAAATCGACTGTAACAATGATAGAACAACAGCAATTCGATAGAGAGATGCATATGACTCAACCAAAACCTATTGCTGGAGCATGAATCAAAACTGGATTCATCTGATCGTGAATCAGGAAGCGAAAGGATGTCTAGATCAGCGAACGATGATTATATCTCATTAACGATAATTCTTCAAAGTTTTGCGTTCTAAATTCATATGATCTTAAACTATTGATTCTTGATGATTCGATTTGGATTATAGACATCAATTATTGGACGTTCACCACCTCCGTCTTCTTCGTCAGAAGTCTCCTCATCATGATGTCCTTCTCCTGATGCATCGCTCCCGCTTCCGTCTGAATCCGTATTATCACCCGTTTCATTAGGTTTTTCTGAAAAAAAGGTTAACATGAAGTTTTTTTTATTGAAACCAAATGACACCTTATCAATTTAAGTGAACTTAGCAACTTTTGCGATACCTTTGTCGACTCAAATTAGTTAACAACTCGAAATTCGTTCGAGTGATGAGAAAATATTTGTTTTCAAGATCTCCCATTTCCAGATTTGCTCACTCATCAATATTAAAATTGAATTGCAAATCTACATCGAGTTCTGCGTTCCCAATTAGTTTCACCACTGGAGCTGTCTTAAATTTTCAGTTTTAGAAGACTCACCTTCTAAAATTTGATACGAGAGGCATTGTGAATATGGAAGAAAGTTTTGAAAATGCACTGACTAAACAGAAAAAACCAAATTACTTTTATCATCGGCGCTATCCTGATCGTCTTCAGCTTCCTCGTCTTCGTCTTCCTCACTGCTCTCACTGTCACTTGGTGGTAGCATATCCGCATCGATCACTTGATGCTTCTTATTTTCCACATTCACATGACGTTTCGCTTCACGAGTCAACTTTTCTGCGTCTTGCTCGAACCTATACAAAACGAATCATCGATTCATATGAACACCGTCTGGCTGTGCTCTTTTACATTCCACTAATAACATTATTTTTACACTCGATGAACCGCAGAGACTTCAACAACACATCGTTTTCGAATTAATAAAAAGAAAAGATTTTTCAATTATTTCGAACAAAATACTTCGAACACTGTAAAACCGTTGTGATGTTATCATCGGAATGAAAGCGACAAATTAGAACTAACCGTTGCGGCCAAAGTTCCTCTTCTCGAATATGCAAAACATTCTCATCGTCCAACACATTCGTTATTTCCGCCTTAACTTTATCACCCTCTTCGATCGCTTGTAACAACACGAATTGACCACGTTTCACCCAAACGGATTTCCGGAATTTTGTTGGCATACTCGCCAAATACTTTTCACCATTTGCATCTTCTACCTGAGAAAAGCTTTTTTTGTACGGCACTTGTTTGAAGAAAGATTCCAACCGGAATCTACCACATTTACTAATAATTCAAAAATGACGCAGATCATCGAACTCTCAGTAAAACCTCAAGCTCACATTTCGAATAAACTTCAACAGGAGTCCGGGTGAATTGAATAATTCTTCAGCTGTGTTGAAAAACCATAAAATGGGGAACTCTTTCACTGATAATGAAAATCATCGATAGGCTCTAAGTGGATGGATGCAAAATAAGCAAACTATGAATCATCAACAAAAAATTACCTCATGAAGATTATTGCCCCTGCCGGCGAGCACCTTACCGATAATTTCACCCTTTCCTGGCAAGACATATTCACTTTCAACTTGCTTCGTTACGAATCGTCGTTTGCTTGCTATCGACATAATGGAAAGCTGAAGACGTCAGTTTTTTGTGCTAGAAGATCACGTACCAAAATATGCTCGATGCACTCGTATCCTCAAGACAGCCAGAATGCTGTAATGATTGACAGTCAATAAAAAAAATCACTAGGAGTACATTATTAACAGCACGATTCATATCAATCGTTTATTCGCAATGTAGATAAAGGAAGCTTGAAGCATTACTGAAGCATTAGACGATGAGGAGGTAATGTGGACATAGAAATGAAATCTGTTCAATCAAATTCAGTCATATTTCATTCAGTAAAAGACAAGATTTGAAGAATCGATACTTCATCCTTTCTTTCCATTTCTCATTGAAAAATGCCACTGAAGCAGACTTTATCTCAACTATGAGATTTTCAAGGAACTATGAAACTGTCACGTAATTTGTCACACTTTGCGTCGTAAGGACGAATAACGACGAGGGTACTTCAACCTTTAGATTTCGACGAGGCTCACCCGTACATCCAGAAAAATCTGGATTTCAGCCGCAATGAACGGCACAAAAACATCTTAATTCCGAAAATTGACGGTTAGCCAACAATAATGCGCAGTTATGTTGCCAAACTAAAAAATGAATCCTTCTGCCACAACCGTTCCTCAGTTGAAGAGAATTTGGACTAAAATTGATGGTAATCTGCGAGATTTCCTCGGTAAGTGGATTGCCTTCAGTTTTTTCACTTCCATCTTCCGACTGTCAGCCAATCGACGAAAAACAGAGCAGGAAACAGAAAACATTCATGAACTGAGGGAATTTGCAAAAGAAACCAAGCAAAATTGCAGCTGAAGAGAGGCAATGCTCAACTCATTGATATGGTTAATTAAACGAAAAATCATTCCAGTTCTGACTTGTTCCGAACACATTCGAGTTGAAAAGCGCACAAGATATCACAGCATATTGTGTACTATTTAAACAGAAACGCCTGAGCACTAATCAGCAAGAACACACTCTCCGGGTAAAGGGACAAATCGCAATTTACCCAACATGCCAACCATCATCACAAAATCGTTGCCTCAAGTCAAGATCATGCACATAATCGTTTGTCCATGAAGAACCAGCATACACATAACCATGCCCCTATTCATCGTCAAATTTTGATGGTATAAGTTGATTGCTGATCACTGATGTTAGCCTTATTCAATGCAAAGCCACCGATCTCGATCCAAAATGAATCTGTGACTCAAATTGAGACTAGGCAAAGCTACTGAATGCCATATTAATATTCCAAGCAACTTTGAATGATTGACGAGAATTTGCACAACTTTATGGCTATTTGTTCACTTATTTAATTAATCAACAGGTTTAATTCATTACCAGCTTACGCCTCTTTATTATTATATCATCAATATCACGTTTCTACTTCTTTAACTTCATTCTTTTGCACAACTAAATATCAGCACAATGAATCCTTCAATTTCATCAAAAACTAAATTTGATGATTGTTTGGCTATCATGTATGTGTCGGGCTACTGCTCCGTATTGCACAACGATTTCTAGAGAGAAGGACTTGAAGTAAGCCCGAAATTACACACCGAACATTAAAAATACGCTCAAGTTTTCACAGTCGTTTAATAATTTCTTTTCCTTTTTCCTTCATTCATTTAGCAGGTCTCATACAAGTAAAAAAAAGAAACTCCATATTGATCCAGTATGAAAGTTCTTTCGGCTGAGTTCCGTCTGGCTGTTTTATCATTACCAGTTTCAATATAGATGCCCTTTCTGAAGCAGCCCCCTCGTAATCGACCTTGAACACTTTTCGTTTATGAAAAACGGTTAATATTTTCTTTACGCATTGAAACTGAAGTTTCTGAACGGAATTCATAACTGAGAGAATGATCTGAATGTGTCGTATCATAAAAACGCTGCTGAGCAATTGATTATTTATACCAGTTGCACACACTTCAAAAGACGGGTTCTATTCAACACCGTTTCTCATTTTATACAATTCAATGATGAATTAACTCATTTCGTTCCTTTATCAATTATAGTATATTCCAGCACATTACATGATAAAATCGATACTCTTTCATTTGTTCTCTACTCTTAAGTTCATTGAAACCATACGCCTTAAAGTGATTTCAGTAATTTTATTTGAATGCTTCATTTCGGTTGATATTTTCATATTCATCACGTGAACGATTTTGATTTATTATATTATCTTCTGAGTCGATTATAACAACGAATTTAACAGTTCTCCTCACTGAATTAGTTATTTCTTGATTTATTTACGGATGAATATTTGATGTGAACCTTTCAAAATGTTGATGAGTAGTTGGAGTCGAGATTGAGTTAATAATGTGCATAACAGCAAACGATAAACAGTTAGTGCAATCGATGATGTGTCTCAATTTGTTCGCTATGTAAGTCGATAATAACAAAGTAACGTTGTGTTGTAATTGTTCTATTGGAACTGTAGAAATCACATGCTTAAAGTGACACTGAAACATTCATATTGTACCATTGTATCACATGATGAATGTTTATAATTATGAGTCGTGAAGCTTCAAAGCAGTCTTCCTAGTTGTGAGTTTCTTAATGAAATTCCACTGATCTTGAGCGAACTGAAAACGTCAACACCGCGGAATCACGAGAAGAACTTAGCCAGATATTTCAGAAATGGCAACTGTGCGATCAGTGCGTTTCAGCGATGATCCACCAACCATTTCATCGGTATCGAATACGACCAACGAGCAGAGTGGATTAACATCAATTCTGCTATATCCACCAAGAATCTATGATGATGCTTTGTATAATCCTTACGATATCTATACGGCTGCGAGCATTGGTGATGCTGAGATTATTGAGGTTTTTTTCTGTTCGTGATTCCCGTAAATGACACTGTGATGACACCGAATAGTTTCATAGAATTTGACTGATTGTTTCGAATGTAGCATAAAACTATGGAATGCTTAAAAGTCCGATTTGAATCAACCTATGCTTAGACCAAGAATTATGCTAAGCCTTAGCCTCATGTTCACAGCTACTCTCAATCTCCAGACACTTTTCTGTCCAACGCAATCCGAACCCAATTCTCGACACATTTCGGGGAACCCGTTTTAAATCAGTCACATTATTGAAGAGAACATTGGCGATTTAGCGTTCGTTTCGCAGTGAATAATACACCAAATCAGTTTTGCTTAATTTCGGCCAATATATTCGACAGAATAACTAAAAACCTATGAAAAGAAGCTGTCGTTTCCGGTGATACAATCCAAAAATGGACCACACAATGCTACTGTGATAATGATAACATCTTTGATAAATAACAATATTAAGAGAACTTTCTAATGAGTGAGCAGTCAAAAATTAAGGCTCAGTTACGATCCGGTTTCGATGCGAATCGTATGAATCGATGTGGTTGGAATGCGTTAATGTATGCGGCGTATTTGGGCCACGAGTCAGTTTGTGCAACACTCTTGAATTATGGTGCTCAGGTTGATCTGGTGAATGCACAAGGACAATCCGCGCTGATGTTGGCTTCGCAATGCGGCAATCTTGCTGTTGTACGCTGTTTGCTATTGTTAACTACAAACATTTTTCATAAATTGACATCAATTGCCGCGAGTCTTGAATCGTCAGTTTACATATTTTGAAACGCATCTTGAGATTCTCTTTCTGGATATCTTCGTTAGAGCATTATTTTTTTGGATCACCGTCATCAACATAAAATCGCCCGGTCATTTAATAGCTGTAGCTAGTAGGCAAAGCGATTTGTCAGTGTTGAAGTGCACATGCACAAGTTGCAAATAAGAGTGATTTCATTGATGCCAGGTACGATTACTACTTCGTAAAGGAGCTCAAGTGGATAAACAGGATAATTGCGGAGCAACAGCGTTGGCACATGCGTGTTCATGTTCGCAAAGTACCACAGCCGAGATATTGCTCGGAGCGGGCGCTAATCCAAACATTCCCGATGCTAATGGCATGACCCCGACCCTAATCGCTTGCTCAACTGGTCATGAGCTGACCCTACTCGCTGTTTTGCAATACGTTTTTTAGAACCATTACTGTTTAATAGAATAGTAACTAAAGCAATATGAGAGTTATGGTTAAGGATGGCGATGTGAAAATGTGCAATATAAAAGGTGAAGATGGTGAAGCATTGGCGTTCGAATATCCGAAAGCTCTTTCAATCATTCGAGAGCCACCTTCGGTTAGGCATCTTCTGTAATCACTTCTCATAGTTTATCTTCAGAAACTGTCAATTTATATCACGCATTCTCAACATTTATTCTGGAATCCTATGAAAACGAATCAAGTTTCCTTAAAATAACAAACATTCCTGCCCATTCCAGACTGAAATCTGACATTTTCGTTTTTTCACTTCTATTAATGAGTTTCTTTTCATTATAGGTATACATTTACATATTTTGGCGTTGAATTGTTGTCAGTGGTCAATAAAGTGATTTTTTTTGAGAACAGAAAGAATGAAATGAAAAAAGGCTCAGATGAGATCACCTCGCTTGCCGGATTGCTATCTCGCTTGAAACTCGACAAATACATCAGCATATTTGACGCTCAGAATATCGATTTGAAGTCGTTCTTGTTGTTGAATGATGCGAAACTTATTGAAATGGGTGTCAAGGTCTCGCTTGGATGGTTTCACTTCAATTCATTTCAGTTTCCTTTCTTTTCATTCACAGAATCATCCTACTACTGATCAATCAAAGAAATACGATCACTTTTTTCTAAAGTTTCATTCAAATGTTGAACAGTACATTGTTTAGTGCTTAGCGAAGCATTCCTTCTCCTATGAATACGCGTAATCAATCATGTACTCATACTTGAACTGAACATTTAGGGGAGTTTTGAAATTGGAATCATCATCATCACAATTGAATTCGACGTCTGTACAGAGATGTTTGAGTGTAGTCAGTGTTTAGGCTTTCGGCCCGAGGAAGAAAATGTTGAATGCGATAAGTCGCTATCATGCAGATGGTTCATTCCTGGCCAGTGTTGAACGGGACAGTGTCGGCTCGATTCGCTCCAGAGGATCCACCGATCTGAGCTCTGAGCAGGTGAACGGAATTTCCAGTGAACATTCCTTGTTGACATTTCAATCGTAGCGATTAGTGCTGAGGTGCGACACTTTCACACATGATGATAACATCCAGAAATCTATTCTTCTCTTCAAGCGAAAACATGCGCTCAATTCTCTTTATCAACATTTCTTTACTTACAACGACGCCATCCTCATAGCATTATAATGAGTGAACCTGATTCATAACGGTACAATGTTTGTTTAAGCGTAAGTATTGAAGTGTTTTGATTTTATTAAATATTGGTCACAAAACTCACTGAATGCTTCATATGCATCACACATACTTGCTGTTTTTAAGATCGCATTTTCCATTTTTACAAATGAATACGAAGGAAAAATGAAACGGTTCATTGAAAATATTTCCTCACAATGGTGATATCAATAGAATATGGTTTATAGCTATGATTACTGTAGGAAGAGCGTAACGACTTATTGCTTGAAGGTGACAAATGAGCTGATGCAATGCCAACAGCAGTTAGCTGAATGCCAACAAGATTTACGAAAAACGAAAAAACTATTGAGTGAGCAGACGAAAGTTCTATCCGCCATCTCAGAAGCTGGGAAACAAACACGAAAAATTGCAAATACCATGTTAGAGGTACCATTTTTTCATCACCTTTGCAGATGTGTCGTCTAATATTCTAAGTGCTACTTTAAAATCAGAATAGAAATTAGAATACTATAAGACAGGTGATTGATGGTTGGATGTTTAGTTCCAGTGTTTATTATTCAATTTCAGTATGACAATAAATTTATACCACTTCGAAAATATTTTGAATCTTTTCAATTTACACATTGATAGTTTTTGCTTTAGCATCGTCCGCGTCAAATCAGTTCAATTCAGTCTTACCATAAAGTGAATAAGGCTTTTGATTATGGTCTCGATTTCAGGAGATACGACACGATCAATCGAATGCACACTTCGAGAAATATGTTTCCTCGATAATACGAAATATCGACGAAATGTCTATGAAAATGCTCGAATTGCCGCGTCTTTGAGTGCTGATGAAATAAGAAACCGTCCAACAATTCAGTTCAATTTTTGATTTGTTTTAATTGATGTACTCGTCAAATAAAGTATTTCAATGCCAATATTATGCGCATCGTGAATAAATCTGACACAACGCCAGAATTTCCGTATATGTACAAATATTGAAATATTTTGAGTTCATCGCGTAACAATCATTCGAACAACTGATTCACATGCATCGTATGCTTGCAATTCATTTATTAGGATTGGAATATTTTCATGACAAAAGTGCAGATTACGTACAATACAATCAGTGAATTGTGTTCAATAAATTTCAATGGATCTATTAATTCATTCATATGAGTTAACAGATTCCACTAATGACATGAAATAAGTGAATATACCACAATAAAAATCTTGAGCGATTAAGAGTAACACAATCAAACGGAATAGTTTCTTACATTTAGAATAAAAGGCGTGCTTAAGGGTAATTTGGGCAGCAAATATTCCCACTTGTCTCCTCAAAAAATCCTTAACATTAAGGTTTTTACCTCCGTTATTGTTATCGCCCGTTGACGTTCGCTCCCCTTACCCAACCGCACTGAAAGGAAGTTCCTTGTACGTCTTCGATCAGAATAGTACACTATTAGTTTATTGCACTCAATTATCAGAGGTGATCACGATAGCAAATATTTGAGTAAGGCTGTAAGAACTTTCACATTGACACTATTCCCAAGGGCGCGATACATTTGTTTTTGAGTGACTTGATCGGGTTTAATAAAGCTGAACGGAAATCCCATCAGACTCGCCATTTCTCGCCATGAAAAATAACGAAGTCTCAAAGTATTCTGCGAACACATCTTCGCAAAATTTGCATCATTCGGCTCAAGCTCACAAATTTTCACGACCACATCCAATGTCTTCGGATTTTCTACCTTAAAAATCTTTCCTATACGGTTTTCTCCTTTAATTCTGACTCAAGTATAATAACTTTCCCTTTAAATTCTCCAAACTATTCAGTTACTCGCATCGCAGAGAACAACAACACCTTCCACTCTCATTAGAGGAAATTCAACTCGAACGTTAATTTGCTCGTTCTTTCGTATTTTTACTTAATCTGTTTTATTTTATAATTGGAATTCTTCATTTTATAATTCAAAGATTTTTATGCTTCTTGCTTAGTTCAAAAAATATCGTTTAAGTTAGTATATTAATTATCTTCCTACAATTACTGTACATTGGTGAATTTCATAAATCATTAACGGGAAACTATTCAAACGAAATTATCTCTAAGACGATGCAACTGTGCTATTGTTTGTTTTAAAAGGATGTTATTCACTCACCTGATATTCAGGATTACATAACAGTATAGGGCCTGAACTTGTTATGTAACTGCTATACGACTTTGTGAAACACGACGAGCGATGACTGCTCTTGCTGACAATATCAATGCTCTTCATATATCGACAGCAATTTGTCATATCCACTCGTAAACTTGCATCAGAATCATTCTCGTCATTTACGTAATCACCTTAATGATAGGAAAGTTGACGACGAACGATTAATAGCAAAAATCACAAGTCATCAAAATGGTACCATGAAATTGAAAAACAATTAATCTGATCAACGATACTTAAAATTTTCGACCTAAAGAGAAGTTGACTGATAAATTCTGATGAAATATGCTAACCGATGCAGCGCGGAGGTTGATCGAACGAAATGCTTGATGACTCAGGAAACTCATATGAGATAGAATTTGGTGCATAGACACGATCCGGTTCATTAGGCCGATATTTGGCAAGAAGATAGTAACGAGGTCGAGAATTTGGGATGCCCAGTTGCAGAGGTGATAGGATGAATTCCTGAGAAATTTTACAATCAACTCAAAAAATTCCAAATACATTTTCAATGAAACCTCTCACTGACATTCGTCGAATATGTACATGTCAATCTCTTGGAAAATATTCAAATAATTTCCTTCAAATAAGTCCGCAACTGAGTATTTCTCGAAATAATTCGGACAATGCACATATTTTAGCAACATTTCGACAACTAACCGCATTTTCAGGCACGAATAAAATCCGCAAAACACTCGCAAAAATTCAAACCTCAACACTGTACGACAGTTGAGTAAGCGTTTCAATAAGCATTCCATGAGCAGCCGATGTTTCAAATCCACACACATTTTCTAAACACAAAAAACGAGGAGGATTTCGCATTTGCCGCAGAGTGGAGCAAATATTTTTTAAAGCATCACATCGCTTATCACTGAGATCCTTTTGCGCACCCTTTCTGAATACGGTGTTAATCGTTATGATGTCAAATCATCACAAAAATAGATTAAAATTAAGTGAACAGTGTTTGAATTCGATATCGTGTTGTGTGAATATTGAATACTGAATATCACTGGAGTTAAGTAGAGACTGTAAATTAAACGATTGAAACGATAGTTGATACTTGGTGAAAGGCTGACATGGGGGCGATAAAGTCCACAAATCTGCATTCTCCTCATCGAAGTAATCAGCTGTCAACGCCTAGAATTAATAGTCAACATAATGGATATCTTCTGATATGAAATAATTGGTTCAAATTTGTGAATTTTTGAATGCTGAAAGTTTGTTGGAAATGGTGAAAATTTTGAACAGTTTCTGAGGTCGTTTGCTGTCACCAAATAGCAAAAATCGCCTTTTAACAATATGGATATCTGACAGAAGAGAGCCGATGAATTTTCAAAGAAATCACCTGAATATTACGCTGGTGAATTGGCGTATTTGGAAAGTTATACTGGTAAATTTTATTGACCGTATCATTTATATCAAATGCACCAATCACTCGAGCGTTTTTAACACTGTCTGCAATTTGAGGTCTTCCCATTTCATTTACATATTCTCAAAAATCACACGAGAATGTATTCCCGCATTCTTTCATGAATGATGTGGAATTCACTTAAGGTTCAAATGTGTTTTCTGTGCAGTGAATCAGTTTGAAAGAAGAATAAATGTTTTATTTCATTTCATTTGAGATCTCCCAGTATTTGTTTTGGGTATTCGAAGACATGAAATTGCTGATTCAAAAGAGGAGTGACACTAGGTTGAGTACAGTAATTACAGTTAGGACTGTAGAATGCAAATGCAAATAATATTAATCGATGGCAATTGATGTTCGCTATCACATGAACCAAAAAACAGTACTTCCAGTGTAGTGGAATCATGATGTGACGCATTCTATGCCCAAGATTGAGAAGAAAGATGTGATTTTGTGACATTCGTATGAGATAATCCCAAAACCTCAAAAATTAGAGAATAGCATACCAATCAAAGCATAATGGTAACCTCCGATGCCGGAAAAAAATTCCAAACATCGCAGTTGCTCAGTGGATTTGGTGAGAGATTCGTTTTTCATTGCTGCAATTCGTTCTCCAATTGTGATAAAGTACTTTTTTTTGCATCAGAATTCGTTCAGTGAATTATTCATCGTTCCATCAGTTCCTAATGTTTTCCTGGAATCATTTTCGTATTTGGCAATATATCTGCTAATTGCTGGTTATTTGGTAATTCTTGACAATACTCTGCAATCATACATATTCGGGGCACCAGAGCAAATCAATGAATTGTTCTGACTAAAATATTGCAAAAAATTGTGGATAAAGTTCAAACTCGAAAAAACAGGGATTAAGAGTGATAAATCACTCGAATTTGACTCCATCACAACGATGATCAGCTGAAATTCACGGTGCTTTTCATTGGAATGTGCTTTGTCGTTGGCAATGTTCTACTGCGATGATGCAACAAAAATGTTGGTGTGTTGTACGATTGCTAAATTACACACGATGCAGCAGAACTTGTGCGCGGTCGCGTAGCGCTCAGGCACGCTGGATTAATAGAAGTATGAAAGGGATACGGCTGAATGTGCGGATATACTATTGCTGATGAAAGGGATGGAAGGCAGCATTCGATTGCATTTGAAATTCTCTATCCAATAAGCCAAGAAACGAGCGAGTTATGATGAGATATTTATCTTTTGGGCATTCGAAAACGCGAGGTTGCTGATTCAAAAGAAGAGTGACAATAGGTTGAATACAGTAATTAATTCAGCTTACAGTTAGGACTGTAGAATATGCAAATAACATCATTCGATAGCAATTGAAGTTCATCACTATCATATGAACCAAAAAACAGCACTTGCAGTGTAGCGGAATCATGATGTGATGCATTCTACGCCCAAGATTGAGAAGAAGGTTGTGATTTTGTGACATTCGTATGAGATAACCGCAAAACCTCAAAAAACAGAGAATACCATGACGGTCGCAAGAACGAGTGTAACTTATTTGTTTCATATACCTCACCATCGTGTTTTTGTTGATTCTTGTAAGTGTAACTGCAATCGGGCGAGCCGTAAACGTCCACATCAGAGTTCAGGCAACTTTAATTGATTCTATTCTGTTACTCGGTCTATTTTGACAAATTTAACTGATTGTGAGCGTTATTTAGTGAAGAATTACGCGGTGATCATTTGACCAACCTAATTATTTGAACTTAGAATTGACCGTTAAACGCGTAGAATTATCCTACTAGACCAGTTCGCACCTAGAACTACTCTGCGTAACACTAATACCAGTTCCTTCTCAAATAAACTCATATTTATTCGTTTAACTCCGTAAAATTACCTCAGCAATCTATTCATTTCAAGCCTTTGACAGGTGTTATACGATTTTTTGACATAAGCAGACTGCAATGTACGTTTTCTTTGGTTGTAAGACGAAGATAAGCAGTCGCTGCATATGCTTGGCTTGACGCGTCTACGAAAACATGGATTTGAATTGGTGAATTTTTCCAATTCAGAGCGCCATTAATTTGTCTTGATACGCGTATTTCTTGATTGCTTAAACAAGCCAACAGAGTGTGGACCTTTTTGCGATCAATTTCTTCTAAAGGTTGATCCCATGCGTATTTCTTTGCCCATAAATTTTGCATGAAGGATTTTAACGGTAACGTTATAGGAGTTAGAAATCCGAGAGGGTCGTAGATTGACGCAACAAAACTGAGATAGGTTCTCTTAGTGAGTACTTTTGCCTTGAAATTTTGTAGTGTGAATGTAAGTTCGTCTCTGTTTGTATTCCATTTAATTCCTAGAATAGAGATGATATCTTTGTTTTCCGTTATCTCTCCTCTCTTCATCAGTGTTTGCACTACTTTCTTATCATTACTTTTGAACTGCCTTAGGTTCATGTTAGCGTTGGCAAATATTTGTTGGGCCTCTTGACCCTTTCTGATTGCTGTGTCAGTGTCTGTCGCTGTTAAGAAGATATTATCGACGTAGATATTGTTTTTGATTTCTTCACATACTTTAGTATTTGTGAGATGCAAGTGATGAAGAATAGTGGCATTTAATATGAAGGGTGATGAAATGACACCAAATGGGACTCGTTTGAATCTGAAGATTCTCAAGTTGGGGTATTGAGGCGGTTTATTTATATCGTGTAACCAGAGAAATCTTACGACATTCCGCTCATTTTCGTTTAAAGCAATTTGTAGAAATGCTTTTTCTACATCTGCTGATATTAATATAGGATCTGTTCTGATTCGTAGTAGTATTCCGCACAACGCTGGCAATAAGGAGGGTCCTTTTAGAAGGATTTCATTTAGGCATAAATCATTTTTTCTGGTTTTTGATGATGCATCATATACTATTCTCACTTTTGTGGTACTATTCGATGGACGAATAACAGCTTGATGAGGCATGTAATAGGTAGGACCGTTGGGAATGGTGTTAGTGACGTCTTCGATGATCCCGTCTTTTAGTTGATCTGAGAATGTAGTTTGATATGCTTCAAGTAAGCCAGGATTCTTCTTTAGCTTCTTTATCGTTGTTTTCAGACGTCCGAAACTTAATGCGAAATTATTTTGTAGTTTGTCGCTGTTGTGTTTCCACGGCCAGTTGCATTGGTAGCGATTGTTTTCCCATGAAATCGATTTTTCAAATTGATCCATAGCTTCCTCATCTTCTGTTTTATTTGGTGGATCCGTTATTCCTAGCGTTTCCAAACTCCAAAAGTTTTCTAATTCGTTATCTGTCATTACGTTGCAACGTACGCAACTTACTTCTCTGCGATCCATTTCGATATTTGCGCAACCTTTCCCGCTTATTATGTCACCAAATTCGGTTTTGATTAGGTGGAATCCGCTTTGTAATTGTTTATTTGTGGCGTTTGCGAGCAAATCATGGTATTGGTCTGCGCCGATGAGTATCTGAGGTGCGGCCCAACGTACGTTTTGAGTAATTTGCTCGTATGTGTTTGTATTCAACTCTGTTTTACACATACGCACCTTGCTGGTTAGTGAGGGCACACTGTTTGCGGTTACTGTTAACAGAGTACCATTCTTTTTTCTTAGGGCGAATTCAACATTATCTGATTGGAAGTTGAATACCGGCGTTTCGCCGATACCGAGTATCGAGAGATGTTCCTTTGAATTTGGCTGAATTTTGAGCGATTTGATCAAGTCGTTTGTGATGAATGTACGCTCACTGCCGACGTCAAACATGACTGGCACCAATTTACTTTTATTATTGTGTGTGTTGACAATTTCAATGTCTCTGCACATGAGAAGAACATTGTTTTGCGACGCATTTTGAATGTTGGTAGTTAAGGTTACCGATCGAGTGATTTCGTTAGCACTGTCACTTATTTGGGTGGTACTAACGTTTGACTGTATTTGTGTACGTCGCGTGTTGTCCCTTCTGATTCTACAGAAGGCTGAGTTGTGGTTGTTTTTCTTGCAGTGGTAACACATAATTCTTCTGACACAGTCGGTGGTGCTGTGTCCACTCCTTAAACAGCGAAAGCAAATTTGCAGTTCTCGAGCTCGATCGTAACGAGACGTGGGATAGGCGTATTTCCGACAGCTATCCGACCAATGTTCCATGTTGCAGAATGCGCAACATGGCTTTCTGGAATTGTCTATTAGTGGTTTAATATCTGTCGTCCTTTGGGTTTGAGGTGTGTTCATGGCATGCATTGCCGATGAACGTTGTATAGACATTGGGCGATACTGAGGCGATGAAGTATGAGATAATTTGTGAGTTGAGTTATTGATGCCTCCACGCATATTAATAGGTTTTGCTTCTTCTGCAAATTTATTTAAAGGGTGTACCTGTGCGTTTTCTCGTACACGTACCATTGCTGCTAACTTATTCCGCAGCATTTTTACTGACCATGTCTCGACCTCTTCTTTTCCTTGTTCAAGTTCAAGCCGAGCCCATGGCGGAAGTCTGTTTTCAATACAGAGTTCCGTTTGCGCGTTGTTTATGTTCTCACCCAAAATTTATTTAAAGGGTGTACCTGTGCGTTTTCTCGTACACGTACCATTGCTGCTAACTTATTCCGCAGCATTATTACCGACCAAGTTTCAGTTTCTTCTTTAGCTTGTTCAATTTCAAGCCTAGCCCATGGCGGAAGTCTATTTTCAATACAGAGTTCCGTCTGCGCGTTGTTTATGTTTTCACCCAGTTGGGTGAGTTGTTGCAACACACATTCAGTGTTTGCAATCATTTCTGGAAATTGTTGTCCTGTCGGCTTCCAGTTTTGCAATTCGAAATACAGTTGTTTGACAATTGTTGCTGTATTTCCGAATTTCTTTATGAGTACTTCTTTGACCGTATCGTAATTATTTTCAGATACGGTGAATCCACTCACTGCGTGTAACGCTTTTCCTTCCAGATAGGGCAGGAGATACATGAGCTTTTCGACCTTAGTCAAGGGTTGAGTGTCGATTGCACTTAAAAACATGGGCCAAAATTGTGGCCATTTTCTTGCTTCTCCATCAAAGGTTTTGATTTGTAGTTGCGGCAACCGCATTGGAAGATTTTGTGGTTGCACCAGAGGAGTAGGTGCTTTTGAAGATGTTGGTTGGCATGTATCACGCTGCGCGAGTAGTGCCGTAATGTTTTTAAGCTGACTTTCCAATGTGACTTCGTGGTCTTTGGCTATTTCAATAACCTCGAGAAAATTGTCCGGATCGCTCACATGAAGCTCATATTTTATGGCTTCTTCATCTGCTGCTTGTTGATCCTTTAGTCGAGATATCAACGTGATCCATTCGGTGTTTTTGGCTTGCAGCGTAGTGATATATTGCTGTAAGCGTCTAAGCGCGTGATCAACATTCATATATGCCACGCGTAACGCGGACTCGGGATTGGGAGAATTTTGCATTTCTGAGAGGTCTATCGTGGTTAAGCCGGTTTGCAGGAAATCTGCTAATCGCTTCTTGCATGGACCGATTGATGACCTAATAGCTGAGGATGCCATGTTTGTTCTATTATATTTATGATGTGAAGGATTTGAAATAGTGTTTTTTGTGTGGCTGAGCTAAATGTGCTGAGCTAGTTGTATGAATTGTCCTATCGTGTTGGCTGAGCCCCCATGTAATTACTTTTGTTATAGTAATTAATATTTGGTTTTGCTTGCGCTGTTGTGTGGGAAAATTTTATGTTAATAGATATTATTATTTGAATATTATCGGGTGTGGTTATACAATATAGTGAGGATGCGCAATGGAGATATAGAGTGTAGACAGATAAGAGATTATGAAGTTATAGACTTTCAATATAATAAATCAATAATAAAGTTGTAAATGAACAAGTTAATAATAATCAATTTAGTAACTTTAATTAATACAATTATTTGTGAACAATTAATTTAAACCAACGTATCGATTTGATAACGTTATAATTTGATGAGTACTTGGTCGTAATTCGGCTGCCGTTGTTTCTGCGGTTGCCTTCGTTGTCCAAGTGACG